ATTTAGACTTCTAGCATTGGTATATAAGCACTTTAAAAACTTGTCACTTTTTAGCTGTCTGCCTTTACATGATGTAATTGAATGGGACTTTTTTCTTTTGACTGTCATGATCCTCCAAACACTTACATACATACTTAACTTTAAGCATGTGAGTAATCTAATTGACTTCAACTGGATCCGTGCTGGCACAGAGGGTACGTCTATACTTACCTCCGGGTCCGGCGGTAAGCAATCGATCTTCTGGGATCGATCCCGGAAGTGCTCGCCGTCGACGCCGGTACTCCTGCTCCGCGAGAGGAGTACGCGGAATCGACGGGGGAGCCTGCCTGCCACGTGTGGACCCGTGGTAAGTTCGAACTAAGATACTTCTCTTCAGCTACGTTATTCATGTAGCTGAAGTTGCGTATCTTAGTTCGAAGTGGGGGGTTAGTGTGGACCAGCCCAGAGACCCACCAGTGCAGATCACATTCCAGAATCCAGGAAGTTAGCAATTAAAATGTTTCAGAGCATTATAGAGATACAATTTTTAATTCATAATTGATAAAGAATTTTTTTCCCCAGAATCTTAGGTTTAAACTGCTGACATATAGCTCATTTCTCATTAGATGACAGAAAGCACTTTTTACCAGAGGATTAACTATACTACAAAGTCAAAACATCCCAAGCTTATGATTACTTCTGAGAGAACACAGTAAATCTTTTCAGAAGTTCCAGGCAATTTAAAAATACAAAAAAAAACACAAGTAAATCTGTACTCACCTGGGAAAATATATTTGCAGTTGGAGCAACTTTGTTGTCCACAATACTGTATAATATTGCTAACAATCTGTCCAGGGGGAATGGCTTTGGTCCAAGGAGGTGATTGCTGGTCTGTAAGAGAGAAGGCATTCAATTAAATGGATTTTTCTGGAGCACAGCACCATGGGATCTTATTTATTGTACCTGTTAGTCTTTAGGTGGCAATTTATTTACAGTATCCCTTCTTAAAGGCCCACAGTCACCTTATGGAAAACATTCAATAGATACACAGCTCTGAATTTACACAAGCAGAGCTCCATTTAACCTGGAAGGTGTCCAAAATGCTTTATGCGTAATTAAGAACACCTTTAGGACATAAAAATTTTTGTCAAATCTAGATTGTTATCTTTAATACTAAGAATTATTATTTAGTCCAACCTAAGGACAGAAGTTGGCAGACAACATTTTATGTTGTAAACAGCTTTATTTTATTATTTATTAGTGTTACTGTGCTAGGATCCTTAACAGTGAATGTTCTACAGTCCCGAGTTGTAGCTAATGTTGCAAAGGGAAAAAAAAATCTATTTTCTCACAGGTCTTCAGTTTCCTGTCAGTCATAAAGAGCCCAGCTCACTTAAGACTCAACCGTGCCATGCTTATTCAGATTCAACAGTATTATGGGACTACTCAGGGAGCAAGGTACAACCTCACTAAGTGTAACAGAATTGATGCTAAACAATGTAAGTCAGTTTAATCCCAATTAAGAACTGTTTTAACAAGAGCTTCTGTACCTGATGCTTACTCTTCACTTATCATAAAAATCATAATACCACTGTCACATAGAACACTGACTTCACGAGAGGAATATGACATCTAAAATAAAAAAAAAAACTGGTTTCCTGCAAGATGTTTAAAAATAAACAAAAAAGGGGGAGGGGAAAAGAAAGATACAGAAAATAAGAGTTGTCTCCAGCAAAAATAATTTTTTCCTAAATTTCCCATGTTAATGGGTCCTTCAGGAACTATAGAGTCGTTTTTGTTTTTTTTAAACGCACTAAACTGCTATATAGAATTGTCTAGGTACTTATAGCAGTGAGAAATACATATAGCAGAGCACCTCACAAAAAATTATCTTCACAACACCTCTGTAAGCACCTCTCTATTTTACAGATGGAGAGCGGATGCAGAGAGATCAATAGACTTCCTGTGTAATCTTGGTGAAGTCGTGGCAAAGCTGGTCACTGAAAGTAGATTTTGAATCCCAGTTCAGTGCCTTAGCCACAAGACCATCTTTCCCTCTCCTGAGGCTATTAAATACAAAAGTGGGCAGTGTGATTAACTCTATGATTTAAAAAACAAAAACAAAACCCAGTAAACAAGTCACCCAGAGCACAAATACTGGATTTGATTTATTGTTATTGTCATCACATAAGCTACTATGCAGCCACACAGGTAGAAGCTATATTTGCCAGGCAAGTGGCTCTTAGAAGTCTATTAGCCTCAAATATGTTGTTACTTTAAACATATAAATACATAAAGAGAACATTTTGTATATTTTGCTTATTGAACACAAGTGCTTTATTGGCATTTTTATTTCCAAGAGGTCCATCCATTAGGGAGATTCTACTAGGAATTTTACTTTAGTCACTTTCTCAGAGTCAGTATCTTAACCTAAGCCCCTTTACTTAGAGCAGGGGTCCCCAACGTGGTGCCTGCGGGCGCCATGGCGCCCGCCGGGGCATCCATGTGCGCCCGCCTACTGGCCGCCGGAAAAGCAGCTGCCGAAATGCTGCCGAGAAGCGGCGTCATCAAGAAGCGCTGCCGTCGAAATGCCGCCGAATTTCGGTGCCATTTCGGCAGCGGCGCCTCTTGATGACGCCGCTTCACGGCAGCATTTCGGCGGCTGTTGTCTGGCGGCCACAGTCCTGGGTGGCTAGTCATCCGGCGCCCGCCCCACAGAAAAGGTTGGGGACCACTGACTTAGAGCAACCACATTAGTTTCTATACATTCTAATGGTAGTTGTGCTAAAAATAATTTCAATTTTCAACAATTTAAAAGTCTCAAAGTCATGTTATAAACTCAAACAATGCTGTAATGTATTAATTTGATGTCTATATCATAATAGCACTCAGGTAGCACTTTGAGCAATCCTCCCAATACTTCCCCCAGGGCTGGCCTTAGCATGAGGCGAACTGAGGCGGCCATCTCAGGTGCCAGACTGTGGGGGGGGGGGCCACTAGGACCCAGAGCGTAGAAAATTGTGTCTGCTGCTCTAGGTGCACAGAGATGGTGGCGTGCTGTGCTGGAGGAAGGAGGGCACAAGAGACATAATAGGCAGGCAGGAGAAAAGGTGAGAGGGAATAACAGAAAGCAGCAGGAACTGCAGGGAGAGAGAGAAGGAGGAGCCTCTTATGTACCTCTCTAGCACTCCCAGGAGCCTGGACTCATTAACACCAGCTTCTCAGGGAGCTTCCTGTTTCCTGCTGCTTCCCTGAGCCCACTTGAGGAGAACAGGCAGTCATCTGAAGTAGTAGGAGCCAGTTAGGCCCTTAAGGCGCTGTTATCTTCCCTCACTCAGGCCCTGCTACCAGCCTGCTTATTTGTCCCCTTCAATTGAGTGTTGAGAGCCACTATAGCTGGCACAGAACAGCAGTCATGAGTGAAAGAAGAAAACGCCCCTCTGGGGCAGCATTCAGAAACAGAAAGCAAGCAAAGGAAGCTTTTCTATCTAAGCAGGAAGGAGCTCTCCTGAGATACATAGACACAAATGTTCAGGGTGAGCCTTCCAGCCCCAGTGAGGATGTGAGTGGTGAGGCGATGCCTGATCTTCCAGTTAGAGTGCAGATGACCCGGCAGCTACTGCAGCATCCATATCTCCATCTCAAATGGATGTAACCATGCACATTCCTGAAGAAAAGTGTAGATCAGAGCAGTGTCTGTAGAGGCGCAAGAAACAGCTGCTGCTGAGTTTAGTTCCTTAAGTCTAGATGATCCAGGACTGTGGACCCACTTGAGCAGTAGCCTGAGGGACTTCCTTGTACTGCTTGGGCCACAGCAAGTGAAAAATGGTGACAAAGTGGAGAGGCCATGGCTTATGTACTCAAAAACCCAGAATGCTGCATACTGGTTTTGTTGCAAACTCTTCCAGTCTAATGTTCCAGCCACATTGGGTTCTATAGGAACAAAGGACTGGAAAAATCTGGCTAGAAATATGGCATGCCATGAGAAGACAGCAAATCACCAGAGAGCATTCCATAGGTGAAAAGAGCTTGAGATGAGACTAAGGTTAAAGGCCACCATAGATGATCAGCATCAAGAGAAGATTGCATCAGAGTCTCTTTACTGGCAAAATGTTCTGAAAAGGCTCATTCCCATTGTAAGAATGCTTGCTACCCAAAACCTAGCACTGATTTCAAAACGTTCTGAAGAGTGCACAGAAGTTGGTAGAGGAACTTCATACTGAAGCTATTTTCCCACCCATTCAAGAATACAAGAGTCACCGAAGAAGACGACATTTTGATTACGAGGCACGGGATAATCCCATAAGAGACCCCAAACAACAATTCAAAGTTGAATTCTTTAACCAGGTGCTAGATTGTGCAATACAGTCAGCTGAAGAACATTTCACGCAGCTCAAGGGACACAGCAGTATATTTAGGATGTTGTATGATATTCCAAAACTCCTCACTATACCTGAAGAAGACCTACACCAGGAATGCAAGGCACTAGAGACAGTGCTGACACATGATGACATGCGCGATATTAATGCGAGTGATTTAGGTTATGAACTGAAAGCCCTTTCAAGATACATTTTAGCAGGATCAACTCCAAAGGCTGTTCTGGAATATATGTGCACAAATAAGATGACCACCCTCTTTCCAAATGCTTTTGTTGCTCTGCGCATACTTCTAACACTTCTTGTAACAGCTGCCAGTGGAGAACGCAACTTCTCCAAGCTGAAGTTAATAAAAACACATCTACGCTCCACAATGACACAGGAGAGGCTGGTTGGTCTTGCAACCATCTCAATAAACCATGAGCTGGCCCAGACTGTGGACCTTCAGGAAGCAGTTCAAATCTTTGCAACCAAGAAGGCACGGAAAGCCCCATTTTGATTATTCAAACAGATAAAAATGTCAGTGTTTACTATGCAGACAAGAAAGGTTACATTTGCTGTTCAGGAGTTTGAAAGTTAAGTGTTACTTAAAATTTTTGAACAAGGCATTTTAAGTTGTTAGTTCTCCTTTATTGGGGTAGGTAGCAGAGCCGTACCATGAGAGGAGAAGAACAGGAAGAAGGCAGAATTGAGACCTTTCAAAGTTTTGGCCCAAGTGAGGGAGAATGGGGGCGTCATTTGAGCTCCCTGGCTCAGGTGCCAAAATGTTGTGGGCAGGCCCTGACTCCCCCCCAAAAGAGAACATTTTAAAGATGAGGAAAAATGGGGTAGATGGGATAAGTGATTTGGCCCCAGAGAGAATCCGTGTCAGAGCCAGAATTAGAACTCAGGAGTTCCTGGCTACATCTCTCAAACTACTGTCGTGACATCCTTTTAGTTTAGGATGTCATTAGAATAACTTGATGGAATCGTTTCTTTTTAATGTATTGCAGGTCACCTATCTCCCTATTACAAGCCTGTCTCTTCTCTTCTAGGATTTGAATAGTCAGTAACATTACTTTTACTTTAACGCCTTTCAATAAAGAAAATCATCATCTGCAGTCATAGGAGCTTTGTAATTGCTTGCCCTATGTTGCATCTAAAGCTTTCAAGTTCTCCTGGGGAGTAGGATTAAGTGTGGAATCTGGAAACAAAGCAGCTTTCCTGAGTACAATACTGAAATTAGCTATAAAGTTCTGCTCTGAGACTAACTCCAAGAGACCATAATTATACAGGATTTTCTAAAATTAGGAATATACCCAAGAATCTGTAATACCCTCTAGATTTCTGAATGAAAGGAATAAGAATTAGGGTCAGGTCCAGTGAGATTGGCAGCAACTATGTGCAGGCAGGTGGGAGAGAGGAGAAGTGAATGCTTGTTCCTACATTCTGGACCAGAATGACTGAGGTACATGCCATACAAAAACAAAATTAGTGAAAGAAGCCCTTGTTTGTTCAGATGGTCTGTATCAGGAA